TAACGTTAAAGTATAGTTACTTACGTTCCGTAACTAAACTTTAACTTTACGTTCGTCCTCCTCCTACTACGTACGTACGACGACACTCTCTACTAGTAGTAGCTCTCTCTCTCTCTCTCTCTCTCTCTCTCTCTCTCTCTCTCTCACTCTGAAATCCCCATTTCCTTTGACTCTTCTATCATAAGACCCTCATAAACCCTGATTCTTTGCAAAACACATTCGAAAGATCCTCACCTATAACTAGAAATTCAAGGCTTCTCTCTCTAGATCAAAGAAACTCTAGAAATTCAGTTTCTCTCTAGATCAAAAAAGCCCTATATAGACATTCAGTTTCTTAAAGCATGAATAGCTTTTCAGGCCACTAACAGAGTAGAAGAACTTTGGAAGGTGTCTTAAGGTGCTGATGGGCTTGCTTTAGGAACGGGCTGGAAGTAAACGAGGAGAAATCTATCCTCCAATTTCACAGAGATCTTGGGGTGTATATTTTAGATATCACAAATGTCAATAGAAATGGAAGAGCAAATCAATGTATATAGATATCACAAATTTCAATAGAATTGGAAGAACAAATCAATGTAACAAATGTCAATAGAAATAGAAGAGCAAATCAAATGAGCCATGCGATTAAAGAGCTCGTATTTGTAGTGGGAACGAGTGAATAGGAATGAGAAACCTATTCCTTTAGAGAGATAGAGACAGGTGCCATGAGTTAAGGGGCTGGGCTTTGTAGTGGGAACGAGTGAATAGGAATGAGAAATCTATTCCATAGAGACAGTTAGTGCCATGAGTTAAGGGCTGGGCTTTGTAGTGGGAACGAGTGAATAGGAATCAGAAACTTATTCCTTTAGAGATATAGAGAACATTTACTCGAGAATGTAAAATGGCCCCAAGGGATTAGATTGTACATTGGTCCTACCAGTCCAAACTGTAATTATTCGGAAAAATAATTTTCCATACCCTATTGCTTTCAATATGGAATAACAAACAATCATAAAAACACATAGATCAAGATAATATATTATCCAAATAAATGAAAAAGGCAGCTACGCTTTTATTCATATTTCAAGATATATGAATATTAAACTCTGATTTCGTCAAATATAACCTTTCAACTATAGTGGAGAATGATATTATCTATATGATGTGTGACATCATCTACATGAAGCATTAATTGTTTCGTAACAACTAATTAAATACAAAAAATTTCTTATAGAAATATCTATTTACTCTTAATGACCAAATCATTGTTTGAAAATTTTGTACTACAAAGCAATGGTAATGAGTGTCCAATAATATTGAGTATATTAATGAAATATTTTATGTGGGAATACCCAAACAAAATCCAAGATTATATTAGCTTATAATAACAATGCTCAAGTTTCTCTAACCCTCATTTTTAGTGTTTGGTGTATTTTTAAGGCCAATTTTTGGATACGTCTTTTTTACCTTGATCGATGTCCTCATCAGAGTTAGAAAACTCAATCGACTTTTTGCACTCGGCCGAGTAACTCGGGCTCAAGCACTGGCCGAGCTTGAGTCGTCCCGATTTCATGGTCCTCCCTTTAGGAGAAACCCCTACACTACACTACTCGGTTGAGTTACCGTACAACTCGGCTGATTTGTACACTACCCGGCCGAGTAGTGTACTACTCGGTGATTTTATCAAAAAATTGAAGGACGTTTTCCCTGTGCAGAAAAGGCTTCGGAAAATCTTGTTAAGTGGATTCTGTATGCCCCAATCCTGAATTTTGCAGGACTTTACAGGCCTTTTTCAGATTGGATCAATTCCATTATTGGAGCTTTTGCTCTTGTTATATTGGGGAAGAGATCTCCATCATTTTGTTTGAGAATTTTGTGTGATACAGGTCTCAACCCCCACCCTCTCTGGTTTCCCAATAGGCCAGCACAACCATAATCTCTCTCTTTCTCTCACAGTCTATATCTCTTTGCAGTCTCTCTCTCAATCAACATGATCTCTCTCATACACTCTCTTTGTGGGTTGGGGCAAGCTGCCTGAACTTCTCTCTCTCTCTCTCTCTCTCTTTTGTCTCTCTCTTGGGTTGGGGCAAGGTGCCCCAACCTCTCTCTCCTTCGCTATCTTGGTCCAACCTCTCTCTTTCTCTCTGGGCTGGGGCAAGCTGCCCGCCCCCCCCCCCCCTCCTCCTCCTCCTCCTCCT